ACGCGTAAAATCGCGATCGTTAGACACGCCGCTAATTGACCGACGCGATAAATCTGCGATTCCAGGGGGCTGCGACGCGTTCGCCTTGCCGTTCAATGCCTCGAATTCGCAATTTACGAGCAGAATCGATTCCCGTGAAGAGAGCGAACCCGGCCCCGACGTTTCGTTCGTTCGATGGATCGGCCGATGCGTAATCGCAGCGTGCTCCACCGGAGTCTTCGGATCTAGCAATAAAATCCTCTCTCTCTGAAAGAAGCTAATCGAATGAAACGAGATCGTGTGCACCATTCGCAAATAATAAAACGTGGCAAATTGTTGGAAGGGTCAGGGAGAGGCCGAGAACGAAGCTAATCCCCGAGCCTCCGTGCCGGCAAAAACTTTCATTTGCCCGATCATCGAAACCGAACAGAAGCGAATTAATTGCACGGTCGATGGTTCATGGCAAGAGGAATTCTAAATTAAATATATTTCCAGGCTGCAGACCACCCAGCTGAAAAGCCGCGGATCTCACGCAACCGCACGATAAAACTCGATCGAAAATCCCGGCCGCAAACCGTTTAACCACGATCGGCTGCGAAAATAGAGCGCGGCGATTCGATTCGATTCGACGGGCCGAGGGAGCCCGAACGAAATTCCAGGGGCCAGAAACCATCGAGGCGATGCCCTCTAATTAATTCCAGCTCGATCGGCGTGGCTCGTTCGCTCTTATTAAGCGCAATTTAGTCGCGAGCCGACGCATCGGCGAGCAATTTTGCGGTGAACGGGATGCGTTCGATTCCGCGCCGCAAGAAATCGATTCGCTGCGCTCCAAACGGTTCTAATCCCCGCACCGAAAGCTCTGCGAGACCAGTACGCTCCGTGCTTCGAGGCCGATAGGACGCTATTGTTTGCTTATTCCGCTTAGAAACCTGCCAGTAAATCGATGGACTTCAACGTGGACAGATCGTGTAATGAGTTCTTTCGCGTTTTCTTGTCGACGACGCGAACAGACTTATTGTACAGTTCCAGCTTAATCCACCACGTCTTAAAGTAGACACTTTCAGCTTTCATTTAAGCTAAGTTTCATAGAAATAGACTCACGAGAACGTACCTCAAAATTCGTCCGAACTGTCGCTTCGAATTCGCGTAATTTTCCTTGTATTTTCCTGTCAGAGGTTCGCGAACTGACTTATTACAGTTTCAGAAAGTGGTTTGTCTGCTCCGAATGTTTTCTCAGCCCAAGAGAATCGCGAGACGAAAGAGATGCAAGCAATTTGCGAACGAAGGCCCGCGGTTATTCGAAAATTGAAGTCGCTGCACGGTTTACGAAGATTTCTCAGAAAGCACATTATAAACGGTTTAGAGAGAGAGAGAAAGAGCGCCGATCTCGATGAACATCGCGGCGCCGTTATTCACACGGTGGCCAATTAGGGACAACCGTTTGATGCTGAACGATCATTTCTTTTCGACTCATTGCTTCGTCCGAGAAATTTACTAGGATCCCAGATGGCAGCGACGCCATATGGCGGACGCGATTGTCCCACATACGGTGGAGATCGGCTCTAGAACGTTGGAAGACCGGATAACCGAGCGACCAGCAGCGGTCCCGGATAAACGAATACCGATATTACCGGATAACTGTATCGGCCTGGCCGCGGCCGCGGCCGGCGCAGCGTGCTCGATCCGCAAATCGATCTGGACGAGACGCATCCTCGATCTACGCGATCCCGGGGACCGTGTATCACTCGCCGGGATCTTATTAGAGCGTTTAGACGGGCTTTTTGCCGGTCGCCGCCTTTTACCCGCCTCCGTGCCACCTGACGGAATCGATTTATTTTCGAGCCGAGCTTAATAATTGCCTGTCGAGATTGATTACGTCGTCGAACGATCACATCCAGCAGCTCGAGCGGATCGCGTCTGGTATCTGGAGCGGATGTACATGGATTCGACGCCGGGAAACTCGAGCTCGAGGAGGTGCGGCCACAACGAATAATAATAATAATAATCGTAATAACAAATCGTCCTTACCGGCCGGTCGCCATTAAGAGATGATAAACGCGCAAATTATAAAAGACGCGGCAAACTGGTGCGCACAGGAGGAGATCAATTATGGCGCGAATGAGCGAGATCCGACGCACTCGAACACCCTCGACGAGAACCTGTGCGATTAGAATACGAAGCTGGGGCCCGCGTCACACTTTTCGATCCGCGCGGTTTCGAATCAGAGAAGAAATTCTCTCTTGCGAATTAGTCCTCCGGTTGGATTGCAAGCGGCGAATCTCGAGTCATCGGCGACCCAGAGACCTCGGACGATTACCCGAGCAAAAAAAGCAATAACGACAGACCCTGAAATGAACGATGATCGTCGCCGATTACACGAAATCATCGGCGAAATATCATCGTGGGTCGCTTTCCCTTCTGCGTGCTTTCATCGACGAGAGTCGATCCCGTCTCGATTCCGTGGATTTGCGTGCTCATCACGGCAGGGGCACGGGATTCGCTCGGATCTCGAGGTCTCTGGTCTCGAGTCTCGAGTCTCGGGAGCACAGATCGACTAGGCCGTCAATGAAAACTGACGTGTTATTAAACCGTGCGCCGATCCAGCGAAGCAAGAAACAACGAAAAGAACCGCGGGCCGCAGTC